TCAGAATCACTTCATTAGTCTCATTTTACAAAATAGCATCAGATGTGTGTATAAATTATTTTCTTCACCTAAAATAGTTCGTACATAGAATAGAACTTTTACACATAATTCATCTAAATCTAATAGAGTAGAGACTTCTAAACCCCCTTGTTTCAAACTTAAAAATGATTCTTTCCGGTCTTGGCGAGGAAAATAAAAAAACCGAAATCACACTCTCTGTTTGCTTTTCAAAAATTTCCATCCCCTCGTTACGAGATGAGTTCAATCAGTATCAGCATGATCCGAGAAGGGAAAGGGATGATTGCTGAATAAGATTTGGCCAATCAACACCCCGCCCGGACAACAATGAGCAGCCCTCTTGCGCCCTCGGCCGGGCTCTGATTCATAAAAGACAAATCCCATCCGTCGCCTCGGGACATTGTTAGCACAACTCAGACACTTGTCAATACTACTCGGAAAAAGTAATTGGTGCTAACGAAACCATCGACTAGTTAGGGCATAACGGGTTCAACTCAATTCATTTAAAAAACAAGAAGGGGAAAATGAATTGTCGTCCCATGTTTAATTAATACACACAATCAATATAAAAATTAATTGATTGATTGTACATAGTTGTGATATGTATTGATTACACAGGCAACTATTTATTCTTCTAGAGCTTATTATTATTTTACCCGCTCAAAATCACTTTCAACTGAGATGTAATTTATCCATTATATCTGCCGTATGTAAAGTAATAAAATTTGGCAGAAGAATCTGACTACTTGACCCAGTCCTAATGGTTCTAGTTCTTTCACGGTTGTGCTATGAGTCTCAAAATATCTGCGGAAGGATGTAGCACCTCAGGCTGTCACTAAGTATGTCGTCTCATCCGTCTCTTTGCAAAATCTTCACGCATAGTTTTGGTTAATGTCGATCTTTCTCTCATCCTTTCTCTCATGCTCATCAGTCTCCAACACCCAAGCAAACATCTTAAAATTCAAAATATCTTCCTGCTTACCCTGATGTACTCTGTACTTCTCTTACTTTTGTTTCAATTCGGCCAAAGAGATTTTTCGATTGCCTTTGTAAAATATGTAAAACTTGTACGTACCGTGTCAACATTGTCAATCTTTCTCAAATTCTTATTGGAGGCTACAGTGCTCCAACAAGAAGCCTGTTATGATTCAGTCTCGTCCTGTTTCCTCTGTAATTACTTTTCCTCTAATTAAATTCTTCCACCGAGATTGTTAGATTTTCTATGTACAGTGAGAAACATGCAATGCTTTGTACAAACTTTGTTGATCTTTCTCAGATGCCAATGTTTTTCCAGTACCCCAGCAAGAAACCTGTTATGATTCTGAGTCCCTTTTGCTTTCTCTGATATATTCCGTAATTACTTGTCCTTAAATTCTTCCAAAGTGATTCATGGATTGCCTAACTCATGCGAGAAATATGAATTAAATCTGCAGCGTTAAGATATAATCGGGTATAAGATATAATACTATGGCATGCAATTTGGAATTAAATGCGTCAAAGAATCTTAAAAGGTAGGGTACTTTATTTAATGGTTTTTCGGAGATCGTGAGTTGCGGTCTTCTGGTGTGAAGTAGGTTTAAAAAAACATTTTCTTTATCGTGCCAACGTTTCGATCTTTATTGAGATCATCTTCTGGGCTTGGGATTTATAAACAATGTTTACATTTTACAAATACATGTAGGATTTGAAATAAATAAATTTATACAATGCTAGAAAATTTTAGATTTAAAAAAATTAATTTATACAGTGCTGGAAAATGAATTTATACAGGGTGAATTGCTACTCGTGCTACAAACTTCTCCAGTAGATTCTTCACCCTAAAATGAACAAAAAAGTTCATATTGTCCATGGTCCGATTCTCAACCATTTCAGAGTAATTTCGCTTTTTATCGATTTTGAAAGATATCACGTCCTGGCGTCGGAAAATCGTGATATCTTTTAATCTAAACATTTCTCTGAAAATCTAATAGCACCGTTGAAATTCCCGTTAATTTTTCAATAAGAAGATGACGGTGGCAAAATGTTTGGGCTAATTTTTTGTGTTTTATTTCAGCCAGAACTACAAAAAGAGTGGAAAATTGTGTAAATCGGAAAGTGTATAAAGTAATCCAGAGTTTCTAATTTTAGTCTCAGAAGGCAGCAAATTTGAGGAAAACTACCTGATTTAATAACGCTTCCAACGCACTCGTCATTTTCTTATTTAGTGGTTGTGAGACCAAGATGTTGATGACAAAAAGAGAAAAAATGGTGGTTCAAGGATTGCTAATGTTTGAGAGTGACTTGCTACTCGTGCTACAAACTTCACCAGTAGATTCTTGACCCTAAAATGAACAAAAAAGTTCATATTGACCATGGTCCGATTCTCAACCATTTCAGAGTAATTTCGCTTTTTATCGATTTTGAAAGATATCACGTCCTGGCGTCGGAAAATCGTGATATCTTTTAATCTAAACATTTCTCTTAAAATCTATAAGCACCGTTGAAATCCCCGTTAATTTTTCAATAAGAAGATGAAGGTGGCAAAACGTTTGGGTCTTTCTTCCTTGACCTTCTAGCTGTTTGTAAACTTCTTAAGCATTACATACTAAATGGGCATTAAATTAAATTAAAAAATTTCAATGGAATTATGATTTTGATTCTCTCTAAAAATTAACGGGGATTTCAACGGTGCTTATAGATTTTAAGAGAAATGTTTAGATTAAAAGATATCACGATTTTCCGACGCCAGGACGTGATATCTTTCAAAATCGATAAAAAGCGAAATTACTCTGAAATGGTTGAGAATCGGACCATGGACAATATGAACTTTTTTGTTCATTTTAGGGTGAAGAATCTACTGGAGAAGTTTGTAGCACGAGTAGCAATTCACCCTGTATAATGATAGAAAATTTTAGATTTAAAAAATAATGAATTTATACGACGCTAGAAAATTTTAGATTAAAAAAATGAATTTATATAATGACAGAAAATTTTTAGATTTAAAAAAAAATTCAAGGGGCGGTTTAGGCGTTGCCACGGCGCTCATCACTGTAAGGTAAAGGTCCCGGGTTCGAACCCGACATACTTACAAATGGGCTTTTTTTTTTTCAAAAACACACACCGGCAGCATGAGGGTGTATATGACCTCTGCTGTTGCGAGCCCTCGTTAAAAAAAATAAAATAAAATAAAACACTATCATTATATAAATTCGTTTTTTTAATCTAAAATTTCCTAGCATTGTATAAATTCATACTTTTTTAAATCTAAAAGTTTCTACTATTATATAATTTCATTTTCTTTTAATCTAAAATTTTCTAGCATTGTATAAATTCATTTTTTTTGTCTAATATTTTCTGTCATTATATAAACTCATTTTTTTAATCTAATATTTTCTGTCATTATATAAATTCATTTTTTTCATCTAAAATTTTCTAGCATTGTATAAATTCATTTTCCTCTCCTCCGAATAATCATTGACTAACGTCACTAAACACCACACACTTATTTTAATAGTGAATTTTTTAGTATCATTTATATTTAATTTATTCTAGCTAAAACCTATTATCTTTTTAAAAAGAAGTTGTATTTGGAGGTAATCTGAAATTTAAGTATAAGGCTTTTCTTCTATTTAAGTTTAATTGTGTTTAAATTTCCGTTAATTTTAATATTGTGTACATAGTTATTCAGACGCAAAGTATATTTTATATTGCATAAATTCACTTTTCAACATCCTAAATGTATTTGTTAAATGTAAACATTGTTTGTAAATCCCAGGCCCTGAAGATGATCTCAATAAAAGATCGAAACGTTCACACGATAAAGAAAATGTTTATCTGAAACCTACATAACACCCGACCGCATCTCACGATATCGATTAACGGTCACTAATCTCTACACATTGTGTACATACGTATATTTAATAAAATCTTTTCTTTAATTAGTTATTCCCCTTTTCTTAATATTTTCCTATTTCCCATATCCCATACATTTTCTTTTATATTGGGTTGTCCGGAAAATAATGCAGGATTTTGGTATTAAACAAAAAAAAAGAAACTAGTTACTTTAAAGCAATGTTCTTTAATCAAAATNAATCCTGTAAACGTAAACAGAATATTTTATATAGATTTTTTTTAATGAAAACTTAAAATCCTGCATTATTTTCCGGACAACCCAATAAAATTAAGAAATTTCCTTTTACAACCTTTTTTACTTAATAAGGAGCAGAAAATCAACTATAGCCCTCAGGCGTAGCAATATTACATATTTTTAACATACCACTGTAAACCCCAAACGTAACAGCCAGGCCATTCGTCAAAAATTACTGTATACCTTTACGTTCAATAGGACATTTTTGAAAACGTGCTATGAGGTTTGATTTTTCCCCGCTTTAAATTTGACAAGGACAAAAGGGGAAGTTTGAACCGTTTTCCCCTTTGGGAATATTCCTCTTGGAAAATTCCCGTCATTCATGCCGTAAATACAAGGGATATTCCCCGTTGTTCTCGCGTGAAATCCGTCGAGACAGGATGCCGGTGTCGTTTTTTAATCAGTCTCCGCCCACTCCTTTATGAAGAGGGAAGAAAGGAAAATTTAAACCCTGTGTTCCCGTACAGGCCGAACAAGTGCAGTTCTTCGACAATGGCACTACTGAGAAGATGGCAATAAAATTCTTCATACAATCCCCAGCAACTAGGGAGAGTTAAATGAGCCGTCACTCTTTTATTCCTGCTTCCATTCTACAATACTTACCCAGACCTCATTGGAGAAGGAAATAAATTTCACAGCTCTAAGGGAAACATGCCATCGGAAATGGATCGAAAAGATATACTGTCAATTAATAATGGTTGACTTGCGATCATTTTAAAAGTTTCTCACTGTTTCATCTTTTATAAGTTTCATTTTATAACATCCAACAATCCAGTGCGTGTGCTATTTTAGGTGGAATTACACTCTTTCCATTCAAAACAACAAAATTGCACAACATTTCATTGTGAATTTCACAACATATGTTTTTCAATATTTGTTCTAATGTAGATGTAGTAGTGTTATGACTTATAGTGGTCATTGTATATATGTAGTAGTGTAGTTCCGTTTTAAAAACGGCATTCAAAATTCAAACCAAACAAGAATTAAAAATTGTCAAATTCAGCTTTAAAGAATGAGGAGAATATTTTCAAGAAGTATATCAAGTGCTGCCTCTTGGGGTAGGAAAAAGAAGAAAAACGTAAGTTCAACAAGTACGCACGGCTAATTTTCCTGATTATGATGGTTTTGACGGTTTAAGATCATCAGACGAAGATGCCCTCTCAACAGGTTTAGAGCCATCGTTCGCAAAATCATGTGCGACATTTTCTGGATATCCGACACAACCGACTGGGAATTAGGTACGAACGCCGAACTCAATGTATACATATTGACGCATAGGAAGAAACGCCTGTTGAGTCTAGAGGTGAATAATTTTATCTATATACGCTTTTTACTTTCGAAAATAAAATATGGCATTTTTAAGGCTCAAACATTGAAATAATAAATAGTTATAAATCTTTAGGTATAACACAATCCTCTTCTTACTCGCATCACTTTTGAAGAGAGGACTTGCACCGCTAAACAAAGTGTAAATATCATATGGTCCCTCTCTTGAGCAAATAATCTTATAAAAAATACTAAGCTAAAACGTTTGAAATCAGTTGTCTGGTATTAATATATTATGGAGTACAGGCCTGTCAACCTGTACCATTTCTTACTAGCCAAATCCGAGTCAATGTTACGCTCACATTAATTATCCTCAAGGTGATTAACATGTAACATGCCCAAAACTATGTATCCTAGAATAGTGATAGCGTACAAAAATGTAGCGTTACTTACGGGCATGTTAACTTCATTTTATTGAATATATCAAGCAAGTACTGGTTTTGATACAGTACGTGATGCCGTAAGATGGATGCCTAAGTAAATTTTGACTACATTTTGGTTTTTCCAAACAGTAAATATCAAGTAAGTGGTAGAACGGCTTTATTTAATGAAAGCTGAATTGTGATGGTTAACGGCAGAGCCTTAAAATTTGAAGCAGGTTGAAGAGAATCTATGTAGAGAATATATTACCTATTATTATAAGTATTATACTTTTACGAGTATTGCGGTTTTGCTTAATAAATTCATTAGATTTCGTGGTCCGATTGAACAAATAACATCTTTCAATTAGTTAATCTTTATGTAAAGTCTTGGTTGAAATAAAAAATTTTTGTCACGAGCGGGATTCGAACCCACGACCTTCGTCTAAATACGCCGCTGCTCTACCACTTGAGCTATCGCGACTTCGATCCACTCGGACACCGACTTCCCATCTCAACCCATGGGTCGTGGGTTCGAAGCCCGCTCGTTACAGTGACTTTTTTACCTCAACCAATATCTTACATAAAGATTAACTAATTGTTTTGCTTAATTTTTTATCCTCGATACTTTACTTTCGATACTACATACTTCTTTGTTGTTCCTCTTTTGATAGTTTTGACGTTTCGATGTCGTTCTTTCTATTATCTTGAAGTATCGATGCTATTGTTTCAACACATTTGAAGTGTTGACGCCATTTATTTTATAGTTTCTAAATATTCTAAATTTTAGAAATATTTATATGTTTGTTTTACACAAAATAATATTGAGGATAGTGTTGATACATTACTTTCGATTTTGAATTTCTACCTGTCTGTACTACTTAACTAAAAAAATGTTTGGTGACCCAAAAAGATTTTTTATGTTTTGGTAAAATAAATTTAATGTAATTTATATTTCAAATGTAAAAATAAACAATTTAGATATTATTTAAAAGTTTATGTAATTATTTTAGTATCAAAAAGCATTGTTAGTCTAGTAGCTAAAATACCACATAGGCAGCGTGAAGGCGTACTAGGTAGAACAAGTGAGTTGATAAAAACATCGAATTGGTCGGGTTTTTTCAGTAATTTATTCTGAAGTATTTATTGTAGTTAGTTGATAGTTAAATATTGCGTCTGTTACTTGCTATTTATTTATTAGTTTGTGTCTTCAAATTGTTAGTTTTGTCAAAATGTAATTTGTTATTTGGTAGGTCTGCAGTTTTATTTGTTCATTGTTGTTTGTCTTTATTTATCCTTTGTTGTTGTTGTGGTATTGCTCTCGTTATTTGTTATTTATACATTGCTTTATGATTCTGAATTTCTAGTCATGTTAAAAAATGGAATTTGATATTTCAGAGGTCCGTACTCTTGCTGAATGTTCCAAAACAAAGCAAAAAAAATGGTCGGGTTTAACCAAGGGAACTTTGCCATTAAAATGTACAAAATAAATTTCTTTAAAGTCTTATTTCCAGCCATTTAGACCAACACAACCAAGAAGAACGTCAAGTGCGGTGGCTTCGGTGGCCCCAACGGTTAAGGCGTTGACACGGTGATTCATTGAATTCAAACCCAACCGACAAAAGTGTTTATCAAAAACACCGGCATCCAGGGTGTCGATATGACCCCCCCCCCGTTGCAGCCCCTGTTGGTCAGAATGTGCAGTTTTATATATTATTTTTGATTTTATGGGCACTAATGGCTTTCTATTTTTATTTAGATCCGATGTTTTTACAGTCATTCGATTAAGAGATATTGTATTGTATTTATAAGTAAATCTGTTAATTATTGTAATGCAGTCCCGTTTGTAATTTATTTTCATAACAAAATGACCATAAAACCTTTGCCTCTTTATGGCAGTATGTCAGGCGGTGCGAATGGTTTGAAAACAATTCCAGTTAATTGCATGCTAATTTGGGGACATTGCATTATACTGCATTAATGACAAAAATGGGATGGTACCGGTCAATTATTGCCGAGAGGCTTTTCTTTAATTCGGCTTTATTTATTCAATTAAAGCATGTAGTAATGTATGATTTTGTTCCATTAGGATAAAATCTGTCTCCGAAAGCCGACACCGGAAAGAACGGCGAATGAGATCAACACTATAATGAAGAAACTAAGATTATTCAAAGCGTTCAAAATTTACCCAGAGGTAATAAACTTAAAAATATACGAAAAGGAAAAAGAGACTATCGAGTCTACGTTTTATTTTCCAGGATGTTAGGCGGGAAATTTTGTTCCATGCCGGTTTTGAATGTTGGAATAAAGACAGGGTCCTCGTACGGCAGGGGCATACCCCTGGCTATGCTTATTTCATAGTATCGGGCACGGCCCTCTTCGAATACACGCACCCCGACCCGATTTTTGCCAACGAAACGAAACACCATATCGACAAACTCGGGGAGGGCGACGGCTTCGGAGAGATGGCGATTCTTTACAACGAACCCCACTCGGGCACTGTCACAGTGAGCTGTAAGAATTGAAAGCCGGTTAGGTAAATGGATAAAATATATTTAAAATAACTCGCTTGGTTACAGCGGACTGGATCGAAGTGATTCTGCTGCAGAAAGACCGTTTTATCTCTCTTTTGCAGGAAACGGTCAAGAAGCACTGGGATGCAATCAGGTGGGCTTTCATGAAGTTCCCATATTTTGAAAACTTTCCAGAACCGGCTTTAAGACACCTCTGCTCTCATGCGTCACTCGTTACCTATCCACCAGGAGAAATAATACCAGGTATTTGGTTAATAATTTTTGACAATAAAGTATAGTTTTAATTTGCTACTGGTCAAAAACACAAAAACATTCTAGACGTAACCGAAATCGCAAAAATACCGTCCCACTTGTCAAACAACAGTTTCCAAAATCATGCTTGGCTCTGTTAAACATTTCAAACTCAAAGCCATTTTGAAAGTCAAACATATGATTTTTTATTAACACTTTTCAAGGAGACAACATACGTCATGGATGGCATGTAGCTCAACAAAGAAATGCTTCATATTGGAGAAAGCAGAAAAATAAAATTTATGTAGTCCCAACTACATCAATGTTTTCTAACCTGTCTGTAATAATAATAATAATAATAATAATAATAGTTTATTAAATTTGTAAGCAATATTATAACATAAATGAACTCAATAAAAAAAACGATACGGCATGGATTCTCCGTCTGCCGGTCTAACCCGTCTTTATAGTCGAAAACTTATGGTCAGAAATTCTTTTAGTACGTACCGATTACTGGTTTATATAAGCTCAGCTCTGTTCAAAGATGTACTTCATACAACGTGTACAGAGTTGAGCCACGTCACGCTTCTCACTATTTCAGCTTTTGTAATTTACAATAAACGACCGGCAGGCCTCGGTAATCGCCCAGCCCGGTGTCGGCCGTCCGGGGTTAGATCGAGCAGCAACCGAGATGCTCCAGGGGTGATATCAACAGCTATGTCATTTCAAACCCCACATCAATCAGTTTCCAGATCCAATCCCACTCTCAATCACTATTAAATACAGTGATCCGATTGACCAAACAATTTTTTTCAATTAATTAAACTTTATGTAAGGATTTGGTTGAGATAAAAAAGTCAGTGTCACGAGCGGGATTCGAACCCACGTCCTTCGGCTAAATACGACGCTGCTCTACCACTTGCGCTATCGTGACTTCGATCCACACGGACACCAACTTCACATCTCAACCTATCTTTTTGCATTTTCTCTCCATTTGCCATTTTTCAAATTCGTGTAATCTCTTCGATTCTCGGCGACAAATGGAATGGCCACGGACAGCTTTAGTAAAGATATACTTCAGTTTGCTTATTAAATCCATTAGATTTATTGGTCCGATCGACCAATTAACTTTGTTCAATTAATTAATCTTTATGTAAGGTATTGGTTGAGTTAAAATCACGATAGCTCAAGTGGTATAGCAGCGGCGAATTTAGCTGAAGGTCGTGGGTTCGAATCTCGTTCGTGATACTGCATCTTTTATCTCAACCAATACCTTACATAAAGATTAATTAATTAATTAAAAACTGTCTTTTTTATTTATGTGCTATTCACTCATATTGCGGAGTACTTTATATTCCTCCATCTCCCTTAAAACCTATTATATTGGATTCACTAATTCCGTGGTCCGTTTGACCAATTAATATATTACAATTAATTAAAGTTTTTAGTTGAGCTAAAAAAGTCAATGGCACGAGCGGGATTCGAACCCACGATCTTCGTGCTTGATACGCCGCTGCTCTACCACTTGACCTATCGTGACCTCGATCCACTCGGACACCAACTTCCCATCTTAGCCCCGCCTTTTGAATTTCTTTTAATTTTTGAAAAATGGCAAAAAGGAGGGAAAATTCAAAAGGTGCGGTTGAGATGGGAAGTTAGAGTCCGAGTGGATCGAGGTCACGATAGCTCAAGTGGTAAAGCAGCGGCGTATCAAGCCGAAGATCGTGGGTTCGAATCCCTCTCGTGCCATTGGCTCTTTTATCTTAACTAAAAACGTTAATTAATTGTAATATATTAATTGGTCAAGCGGACCACGAAATTAGTGAATCCAATATAATAGGTAGGTTAATTGTAAACTATTATATTGGGTTGGCAAGAAAATGACTTTTTTAGTATATATTATTATTATTGTTATACTACTTATTATTGTCATCATCCAGCTCACCGACGCTGCCACTTGCTTTTAAGCATGGCTTTTATTGCTTTTGTAGCATTAAAGGGTCGGATCGCGGTTGTTAAATCCAGAGGTTGGGATGCCGTTACATATAGCATGAAAAGTGAAAAACTACTTCTATTTTGATCATTGATCAACATGGTGTTCCTACTCTTGCTGTATATGCACTCGTTGCTCGACCAAATTACTGATCCGAAAGCTGTTTTAAAATCAGATCTAATATTCCAAGTTTTAATATTGGGTGATAAGATCTTCTTAAAGAAAAGATAAGATGGTGGTTTATTCCCCCATCATTATGGCCTGTTTATTAAAAATCCAAATTAAAACGATTACAGAGTAACGTAATATAAAGTTGTTATATATATTATATGTTATGCTAACATATAATTATATGTTTATATAGATATATGTTTATGTTATGTTATTTTTATGTTACTCTGTAATTGTGTTAATTTGTTTTGTTTTTTTTAATAAACAGGATGTGATGATGGTGGCATAAACCACCGAAACTTCGGCACCGCCATAAAAAGTTATTTTTGATCCGTATGACCTCTAAAGATGATCTTTCATCCAAACTTAATTTGCTGCAGGTCGATAAACGTCTAAAAAAAGGTTTATTGATGAACGAAAATGTTGTTTTTTTTTTTCGACCACCTACTTACATATAATACATGTTTAACGTGATTGTACAGGACCGAATCATATGTTTTTTTGTTGCCAGTGAAAGATGAGTTCGGGTCGAATATGGTGACTATGGTGGTCGATGGGATGTGCAACGTTCTCCAGACTATTTTCATCGCCGAAGATAAGTCAAAACCTATGTACAAGAGATTCAGCTTATACAAGGAAAGAATTCCAGAGAACTGGGGCCAACTGCCGGACAACGTTAGACCGATCATAATGCAGATATGTACCCTGAGAAGGAAGTGCATTTTCGGCTTGGGTATCGCCGGTACCTCTCGAATCTGTTTTTTTGAATATTCAACTCCTAATACTTTGCAGGAGAGCAAATGTCAAAGAACATGATTCTGTCGGAAAGTGAAGTCCTAGCGCTTATCATACCGCGGAACCTCCTCTTAAGGTACAACATAACCAACATATGGGGCAGGATAATCGACACGCTCAATTTGACCTATCCAAAAACGGATGAAATATTTCATTCTTTTATAGAGAACAGGCGCTGGAGCATTTATAAGACGAAACTGAGAAAAGACATTAATAAGTAAGTTATTATCGAAACTTATCACCTCGATGAACTAACACGAACATTTCAGATGCACTAAAACGATGAGCATGTGCATTCACGATGCTCCTTTGTCGACGAGGGCGAGAATGCTCCGTCTGCGAGGACAACTGTACGACAAAGTTGTCAGCATGCCTTATTATAAGTTTGGAGAAATCGATATCGACAATACCATGGAAATTATTACATTGAAGAAGTAAGTTTTAAAATTCATTATCTTGTTCTACGTACACAAAAGTAGTATAATAGTACACAAAAGTTTGTACGCACTTAAGTAGTATAATTTAGATGTTCTTTTATAAATAATAATAATTTGGATACAAAGCCTAAATAATAATGAAGTAAACGTCAAGCAAATATATTTTTTAGAATTAGATTGCAAGAATCACACATAATATATAGCTTTACAAGCAGTTTATTCAGCAAATATACAGTTTTACAAGCATCCTATATAATAAAGTTCTTCAAAACTAATATATAAGAACCGCCCTACACTCCAAAAAATAAACATTACCATGCACTAGAGTCTGCCTGTAGTAAAAGTAATTTTTCATATAAATTGAATTGCCTTTCTTGTACTGCCACTTATTTAAACCGAGCACTTATTAAAAGCTGAATTTCTGGCCACAAATCGATCACCAGACGACGAGGGTGTCAATGCGCTGTCGGACCTGTCCACAATACGGGCCAAGCTTTAACTGGGATAATGTAAAAGCTGTGGATTGTGGCAGATATATTGGTTGAATTTTAATCAGAATAAACGGTATACTTACATAGAATATGACAGCTCTTGTAACTGTTGAAAATATATAAAAAGTTACAATGTTATTAATTTTATTATAAACGATTATTTGGAGGTCGTGAGATGCGGTGTGACGTAGGTTTTCGAAAAACATTTTCTTTATCGTGCCAACGTTTCGATCTTTATTGAGATCATCTTCAGACTCAAAGTGTTTGTTTTCCGTGTAGATATGTCATTCTTGTCTGTCGTGTTGAGAGTGGTAACTAAACACCACACATTTATTATAAACACTGACAAGCAACAAATTCCTCCACTTGTAATATAACTTAATTTGTTTATATTTTTATATATTAATCAAAGTTTCACGTTTTTTAATGTTTAATAATTGTGTCTTCATCCAAAGAAGTGAAGAAAATGTAAATTGCTTAGGAAAATGAAAATAACGGACAGATAAAATTTGTTTTAATTTGATATTTAATTAACATTCAATATCGCGTATTTCTTTCTCTTGTTTCAATTAAATCTCCAGGACACCTCGGCATACATTGTACCAGTCTGGAAATGTCTCTGTGCTGGAGGTTAGCCTATTCCTCACGAAGAGTCCTTTCAAGATCTTGGAGCGTATCAGGAAGTGATGGATGTGCTCTTATTCGTCTTTTGAGGTTATCCCATAAATATTCGATGGGCTGTTAAAGGTACGTTGGTACTATGCGAGCGACATGAGGACGGGAATTATCGTGCATCAGAAAAGGATTGTCGATGATTTCAATGAGGATAGGCGACGCATGATATTCCAAAATGTCATCCACATAGCGAGTAGCCGTCAAGGGCCCTCCTCGAACAACCAACTCTGTGCGACTCTCCACTGAAATTCCTGTCCAATTCACACCATCAGCTGATCTGCGTTGATAAGGTTACTCTGGGAAAAATTACGGGTTTCACCTTCTCCACACTCTTTCAAGCCCATCTGGAGATAGTAGAGCAAATCTACACTCATCTATAAAAAGTACAGCAGATCAATCGTTCAAAGACGAATGGCTGTGCTCTCGAGCAAATGCGAGCCGTGCAACCCTATGTGTTCTGGTCAGTCCCAGTCCTGTTACGGGGCGAAAAGCCATCAGTCCATACTGATTTAATCTTCATCGACCAGTGCGTTTAGAAATTTGGACACATCGAACTTCCTGGAGCTGATGAATCGCTTAAACAACAGTAAGGTGCCGGTTTCGCAAAATTATCAAAGTCAAAAACACGGTCATCCTGTGGTTCCGATACCCTAGGGCGTCCAGAACCGGGCCTTCTAAGGTAGGACCCAGTTTCTCGAAAATGTCTAACGGCGTCTCGCAGAGTTTCGCAAGGGACTCCGATGGCAATAGCCACTTACCTGATGGAACGTCCGTCATCAACTGCCACGCCTCGCGCAACATCATCAGAACTAAGTAGCATTTTTAAGTTTAAAAATTGAAATTAAGAAAACAAAGATGAAAAAGCAGTTTATTGCTGCATAATTCAAATGAGAAATTCATTTTAAAATCCGTAAAAAGTAAACATTGAAAAATCCTTTATCCTTTTGAACAACTATTATTGGTACAAACAATGAGACAAATTAAGTGCAGAATTTTATTTTACCTAGAAAATGAAAAAAATCAATTGGGTAGAATTTTTTACTGTCAGTGTATTTCAATTTAATGATTAATTGTTTATTATTTGGTTTGTAAGTTTTACTTATTAAGTATTGTAACTATAATTATTTTTAAGATAGTTTTGGTGTAGATTTAAATATATGTATTTGATGGCAGTACCATGGTAAATTTAGACTAAATGGGTTGATGCCTGTACTGTGTGGTATAACCAAATAGAGTTTATCTTTCTGATATTCAATAGAATAATTGGGTAATGGTTGATATCTTTCACTGTAAATTTAGTAATGTCATTTTATTACATACTCTTGAAAATATTCTCTTGTACGCATGCCACCCTCGCCGGTTTTAGACCCATCTGTGAAGACGAGGCAAAATCGGTAAATATCCATCTAAGTTCCTAGAACTTACCTTGGTTAAGAAAGGTATGGTGGTGTAGACGACTTGGTTAACAGGGCTAGATCGTCCCAGATTGGAGGTCCAGCTCGAGTACCGTTCCCAGTTTCATCCCTTCCCTCCCGAAGGTTTCTTCGAGGAGTATTCCAAGGGGTCGAATCCGGATTTGAAGTCGCTCGTATATTCTGCTCTACTGTCATCTGAGGATCGTACGTAAGCGGATGTTTCGGTTTGTCCAGGATCCCAGCTGCATAGCTGACGGTAGGCTGCACTCCCAGCTCTCAGCACCCTATTAACCAATGGGTTGATTCTAAATGTGTAGGAGGCCACTTGAAGGCGATGGTTCCACAGCCTATCCAGCTTCTGCGGGCGCGTTTTTCGGGCTGAAGTATAGGCCATGCAATCCTAAAATAGGTTGAGACCCCGCTCTCGCACAGTCACGTTTTTGCCTCAGAGAAAATGCACTTCAATTTATATTGTTGACTGTATCATGATAAATTTAGGCTAAATGAGGAGATTTATTTGTTGTATTGGATGTATTGACCATATTCTCTTAAATTATAACTCAAATTGTTCTAGGAAATCGACCGATAGAGCTCCGCTCTCTGGGCACGAGACTGACAAACAACGGTTCGAAGAGGAATATCTGCGGTTGAAGCATTTGTACCGAGAAACCCAGCACAAACTAAAAGTCTTCAAAGGCGTTCGAGAAGTAGGCTGAAACGTCTAAAATCAAGAAATTGGCTGAATTTAAAAAACAGGAAAGCGGGAATTATTTTCTCCGATATCGCTGTTCATCATTCCGCGTTAATGTTGTCAAATGAATTCGGACTTTTTTATTTTGTAAATTATTGCACATAGACGAATTGAAATTACATTAGCAAAAATAGTTTTGTCGTTCATTACTCTACTGTTAGTTTAAGCGGCATTATTAAGCCTTAGTAAATATTAGCGTGGCGACCTTAGTTTATAATCTGGTCAATAAATCCACCGTTGTTAATTAAAATGTAATGTATATAATGTGAAAAATTTAGTGACCGACAAGCAGCTGAGTTCATCGCCGGCCCTCTACATATTTGAAGTTATTTTCCTGGTCTTTCACGCGTATGTTTCAGTCTGCATGCACTTGACCATCTCAATCTGTTACTGATTTTCTGCTTTTATAAGAAAAATAAGTAGATATCCTAAAATGAAACTTCTCATTTGTACCTCAGGTTGTCCAAAACAGAATGGACAATAGATATTCAATACATATATAATCTATTACGCCCTATACAACAAAAGTCTGGTGATATTCACTCCCTTAGAATACTCGATATACCTCGAGGCGGAATTAAACCCAATCCTTTCTTGCTAATAACTTACTTGTACTCTCCAGACGTCACGCACTAAAAATTAATACATTTCAATATGTAAATAACTTTTATTTTAATCCTTTTCAATTAATGAATCTTTAAGTAAGGTATTAGTTGAGATAAAAAAGTCAGTGTCACGAGCGGGATTCGAACCCACGACCTTCGGCTAAATACGCCGCTGCTCTACCACTTGAGCT